CTCTCTCTCTCTCTCTCTTTCTCCTTCTCTCTCTCTCTGTTTCATTTGTAGCACTGTGTGTTCAGTAACCTCACTGCAGTTGGTACGAATGAATTTCTATATCTGTCTGTTCTTGCTTTTTTTTTTTTACGAACGCCTACATGGGGCTTTATCTATTTAGAGAACAATATATACCCCACTGTTTGACAGAAAGCCATGTGCTGTTTTCGAAGGACTCTTCCATATTTCTACTGACGAGAGTGGCTTCACTTTCGGTTCTCAGACATGAAGCGTCTATTGTAGAACTATAAGATTCCTCGCCGTTGCACGCACATGACGTGTGTTCGATTCCCGATGGAGTAGTAATTATAAATTGTTCGTCCGTCAATGTCTAAGGCGACCAATGCATCTGCATGCGATAATATTTATTAAGGGAAACAGAAGAAATAAGGGTTAAGATGACTTGTGGTTTCAGCCACGGCCAATGAGACCAATTGATCCCTTTTAAGCACAACGGTGCAATCCCGAAAAATGCTGTTTTGAGAAAATCGAAGGTAAAACTTTTGCCCCTTGTTCAGTTTCTTTAAAAGACAAGGAGAGTTTTCTCTATAACCAAACAAATATACACACCAAATAAACCAAACTTCTCCTTTAGGTCGGGCAATGCCCACTTTTGGTGTAGGTCAAGACCTCCGGAAATCCCCGAAATCTGGGTCAGCCCGCTTGTCCTTAAAAGCGGCCAATTCTGGCAGAGAAAGGTTTGCAACTTTTAAAGAAAATTTAAAGTTTCATTTCCACTCGTGGATATATGCAGCGTGCCAGAGGGAAAGATTTGTTGCTACCAAGAGCCTCCGTCTGTCTGCAGAGATGTTGTATCCCTCTCAACCACAGTTGGCCCTCACAAACTAGGGTTGAATAGGTAGGCTATCCCGCCCCTTAAACAATCAAAACTATGTCGAAAGGAACGTAAAATACAGCCGAACCTGCTCTGGCGACCAACTTTCCAAGACAATCCCTTGCACAAACAACCACTTTCCGCTTCGCCCCCTTTTTAGTAAGAGTTTTACGGCACTTGCAATACAGTTAGGTCATATAAGTGCCGAAGATAAGAGGCGTTACTAGACAGTAACAAAAACAATTGTTTTTAAGAAAGAGGAGAGATAAGGAGACTATATGTTTCATAGGAAAGGAGCAAACCACACCAGAGGACCCCTCCCCTTTTTTTGCATGTTTCCAGTGTTATATTAACTTTTAATGCCACCTGTCAAAGACGGCCACTTTTCTCCTTCACAAAAGGTGGCCGTCTTGGACAGGTTCGACTATATTCCTCATTTCTATGGTATACAATATAATGTCTGGTACTCACGGTGGAAGGTCCCCCAGGGGCTGGCCCTCGTATCGCTTGACCATGTCCAGGCCGTAGATGTTGAACATCTTGTAGGGGTTGACAGCCACAAGGATGCTGCCCGTGTAGGTCTGGGGAGAGATGGTAGAGTTGTTAATGTTGTTGGTGGTGTTGGTGGTTGTTGATGTTGTTGGTGGTGTTGGTGGTGGTAAGGAGGTTGCTGTTGGTGTTGGTGGTGGTTGTTGTTGTTGTTGGTGGTGGAGGTGGTGTTAGTGGTATTAGTGGTGGTGGTGGTGGTGGTGATTGTTGTTGTTGTTATTGTTGTTGTTGGTGGTGGCGGTTGTTCTGTTTGGTTTTTGTTGTTGTTGGTGGTGGTGGAGGTGGTTGTTGTTGTTGTTGTTGGTGGTGGTGGTGGTTGTTGTTGTTGTTGTTGTTGTTGTTATTGT